TATAACTATGTAAACAATTCTCAACACTAGAAGTTAGATCATTTAAATTGAGCTTCTTTCTATATCTACAGGGTGCTTTCTCTTCCTAAACTTCCTATACCTTCTATTAAATAATGCGTTCACTACCAATCCAGGCTGTTTAGATATATTACCCACACCTCTCACATTGTCATTTAGCTAGTAGGTACACAGTTCCCTACACCAATAGTCTTCCCTTTCCAGTCGTATTGACGTTACATTAGCCCTATCACTAGCTGGTATTTCTTCAATGGGCATAATGCAAATATCATCTCCAGAGTGACCGTCAGAACTAAAATCATGGTATAAATATAGGTTCGTCAACCTCTTCAGACTACTTCTGTGGTTGTTTAACCTATTTCTAAGCTTCTGACTAGTCTCACCCACATATTGAATGCCACATTTATTACAAGATATTAAATACACAACATTATCTGAGGTGCAGGTCATAGATGTACCGTGGGTGATCACTCCATACGACTTTTTAGTCACATTACTGGTGAAAGTACTACCTTGAGAAATACGTTTACATGTTTTACAGCGTACAGAACCACAAGCACTTACTACACTACCACAAGTAGTATGTGCATGGACATCAGCCACAGCCCTTCCTTGACTTGTAGGATTTGGGGATGTAGCATCATTAACACACACTGGGAGAGACAAACAGGTTTGACCAGACTTTAAAGGACACTGGTCATTGTCCACCACCTTGGTATGCCATGCTTTATAAGCTCCCCCACAAGCCCATCACAGGGGTGAAGGAAAAGAATTTGTGTGGAGCCATAAATTCGGTGCCTAGGGCGCCCTGTGATCAAATTATGCATGAAATTTCAACAAATACACATTTCAATGCTTATTTAGGGATGCACGAGTTGATTACGCTCGTCACATACCTCGACCAAATCATGAAATGTGGACCGAGAGGGGGTAGTTGAGCTCGTAAAAGAACCTTCCAGAGTGAAAATAGGCTGATACTATATAGCGGTTGGGTGAGTCCTGCATCTGCAGCACTACGCACGTGCGGCGCATGCGCACTGTGCCCAGTGCCGAGGAAGAGCGCTGGCGCCGCATTATTGACTCTCGGCGCCCAGAATGACTGCATGGCGCCGTAATTGGTGCCGTAGCGCCAAATCTGCACCCCTGCCATCACTACCACCAGTCTTATTATTCTTCAACTATCTAACACACATGCAATCTCCTCCAAATCTATTTCCCTATCCAATACTTTTCCACACATCTGTGGAAACTCACACACTTTCTTATCCACTTCCTCTTTCCAACTATCATCAAAGGCTGTATCAACACTACAAGTGCCCAACTGCTGATAATGCCTCTTTACCACCTCCAACAGTGTAATCCTCCTCCTCTTAGTTTCTACCAACAAATTCTTTCCTATTACCTTCAAAATCTAAATTTGCTCTTTCCACTACCTCGTTCCAAACCTCAAGCTTCTTCTGCACACTAAATTCTTCACTCTTCCCTATGCAGTTTACTATATTCCTCCCATAGATAATCCTGACCCTCAAGAATTTTTCTTGTAAGCCTCCCCTTCTCTGCTCTATCTTCTGTACCCATCTCGTCATCCCCCACCTGACTGCCCTGCCACACACTACTACCTTCTCTCCTACCTCAGCCTTTGGCCACTTTTTTTACAACTTGCTCCCACTCCTCACTGTTTAACCCACTTCCACTAAATACCCTTACCTACGCGCTTTCTCCCTGATCTCTCTGAAAAAGATTCAAGGCCTGCCTAATACTTCGCTCTAACCCCCTCATCCAAAAATCTGTCTACACGCCACTTCCTTATTGTCCGCTTCTGCCTTTTACACACACTTCGTAACCCGGCTCAACTCCAGCCACACTAGAAATGATCTGAGGCACCAATATCAGTTATATTAACCTGTACATCACCCGGATTCCCTCATCAACTGCAATATCCGTAACTATATAATCTATACTGATTTGTGCTGCAGGCTCGCCTACTCTAGTCCACTCAGGCTCCGACACTAACTTCCTACCATTACATATCACAGCTCGACCTCATTAACCCTCGCGCGATGCGCAGCGAGGGTTACAGTACTTGGGTCTGTCTGTGTGTGGTCTGTCTGTTACTCTCATCTCACTTCTCGGTTTGTTCGTCTCACAAAGACACGACCTACTTAACAGGCATGAAGGTCAGAAATTGGAACGGTTTTCTCTGAAACTGCTCCGTTGCAAAGCTAGAGCGCGAAAAAGCCAATATGCAAATACACAACAGACGATCTGCGTGCTTTGCGTACTTCGGAGGCACCAGAAGATGCAACGCAGGGCGTGTATCGCCTCTCGCATGCTATCTAGTAGTGTAGTTAGCCCGCGTAAGACTCTGCGCGAGCTGGCAAGAGACCACGAGTAACAGCTAAAACTAAATCCAGCCCATCAATTAGTGGTACGGCGCATGCGTTTACTTACGCGTGCGCGTCACAGTGCGCCGAGGGTTTGCACTTCAGTGCTTTTCATTCAAGAATTAAATCAGCCTATTTCCACTGGCATTACAAGTCTCCTCCCCAAACACCCCAATGACATCATCAACATCAGTAGCTGTACCCACCCTCGCATTAAAATCACCAAGAAGAACAACCCTCCCTTCTGCATGAATCCAAGCACATCCTCCTTAAACTTGATGGAACTATCACAAGCACTATCTGTAGGCATGTAAATGCAGCACACATACAATGCTTCCCTCTCTCTCACTACAAAACCAATAGGATTTTCTGGTGATTTCTAACTCATGTTTATGTCATGTTGGTATGAGGTTTTCTGATGTTTATACGAGTCAAAAATATTCTGGTGCAGAATACCTTGCATCAAAGGTATTATGACTCAGTAAACTCACACTATCTTTCACGCAACATATTCTGCTCATTATTATTGCAGAATGATTAGTATTCTGATGAAAGACTGTAGGTAACCCTAGATCATTGGGCATGGTCTTGCTCTGTTGGTTTATTGTTTGTCTCTGTCAGGCTATATATAAGGCAGCAAAAAGTGATCAACGGCCCTAGTGCTACAATTATGTGTTAGCGAAGTGGAAAATGCCTCCATGGTTTACACCTTGATAGTTCAGCACACGGTGGAGAGATAAAGTTACTTGGAGCATGAGTATCCAGTACAGCGTTGCTCTAGCTAGACCCTACCACTGAAGATGAAACGTAGCTTTAAATTTGTTGCCACGGCCCTCTCTCATCGGTGAGAAGGCCCAGCCCATCCATAACTACGCATGCGTATTGTGCACATCAAAGCTTTTGCGGCGAGGGTTTGCACTTACAGTGCTTTTCAAGTTATAAATCGGCTAGAGCTTTCGTTCCTGTCTTCACTTCCAGGACATCACACTGTCCCCCAGCAGTTTTCCCAGATGCATTCAAAAGCTAGCTATAGGTGAGAAGTGATGCCAACAGCCAGCACCGTGCCCAATCCCCTCCACCACAGTCAGAATGACCCGGAATACGGGGATCAAAGGCAAACGATACCAGTCATTAGCAAGACTACCAGGGCCATATCAACATCACAGTGTCCCCCAGCAGTTTTCCCAGATGCATTCAAAGGCTAGCTATAGGTGAGAAGTGATGCCAACAGCCAGCATCGTGCCCAATCCCCTCCACCACAGTCAGAATGACCCGGAATACGGGGATCAAAGGCAAACGATACCAGCTATCAAATGCTGCAATAGGCGTCCAACCCCCCAGATGGACTAGGAATCGTGGGATCAAAGGCAAATGGAATATAACTGCGGCCACAACCAATCGCAACTTACCAGAAGTTGTCTCTCAGCACTCTTCTGCAGCCAACGGGCGGCGTTGTCCTAGCCAGAAATGGTCAGGAATATGTGGATCACGGTAAACGAGACCGCCTAATAGAGATGAAGACTGCTCAACATACTATGATCAACACAGTGACGCTTACAATGATCCCTCGTAGCGGGCATCTTTAGGTATCTGCTACCAAGGCTGCTGGACAGCACCGTATGAGCATTTCCATGCAAATTGGCGGGCTGTTTCTGAGGCAGCTGCACGTTACTTCAATTCAAGCGTTGTAGCGATTTTGGCTGTCTGAGCGACTCTCGTCGTCCTTCGTCTACGACGCCAATAGTCTCTCGTGCGGAGTGTCGTTACCTGTCTGGCAGAGCCGTTGTTGACAAGCTAGCAGCGATGATGCAGTTTTATGGTGGTCGGTCGCCCCAGGGAGCGCCATGCCAGAGAGCTAATTGGTGAGTCAATACCGCGGGCACGGCACTTGCATTGTGCAGCCGTAGGCCACAACTCAAGTGGCCTAAGTGGCTGCTAAAGTGATAACCCTAAGCCAGCGCCACGCAGCTTTCCTCTATGGGAAGAGGGCCTGAGACCTGCTCTATGCAGCATCGCCGCAATTCCGCTCGTGTCTTACACGAGTTTTGCATGTGTGTAAATAGCTACTAGATATAATATACATAGCATGCACGCGCGTGCACGAGCGCGGAGGGGATCATGGAGCATTCGCCGGCCTGGGCTCAAGCTCGTCAGGGTTGCTTGCGCACTAATGCTGATGGAGAAGCCACCTTACGTTCGCAAACTGGGGGGGGGGAGGTAGCCAGTGTTGCTTCCAAAGACCTCTACAGGAGCCTATAATGTGTGTGGCACTTTTACCTGAGCTATTTTTTTCCTCCCCCTCGCTTTTTGTCATTCACTCTCCTTTCTTGTGCATTCATAGTTCTGACCATGAAAGTCCAGCTTCATCACCTCAGTCACGTATAATTAGAAGGATGCCTTTTATCAATCATTGCAATGAAGGTGAAAATGAAACTGTAGGTACCTTAGTCCTAATTCGTCGACCAACAGCCAGCAACAAAGGCGGAGTACAGGTTAAGATTGCATTGACTATAATAATATTATATAGCATACTATATTTCCTGTGCAGAAAATGTTGAACCACAACCTGGCATGATGTCGGTCTTGCAGTCAATTACTATGACACTAAGTGATGTACAGGAACAACTAAGTATTATGCAGGAGCATAATGACCTGCATGATTCCATACTTAAGAAGGTAGAGAAAGATGTTGCAGATTTAAAGAAAGAAATACCAAAAGAAACACCAAAACTCAAGCAAGGTCGTAAGAGTCCCCGGGGATTAAGTGTAAGTATAAGCATTTTGATGGATGTTCCAGTTGCTATGTATGTCTCTTTTTTGTGCACACAGGCATGTGTGCGTAAAGTACATGCATCTTTTGATGATGATGAGCAGTACAATGCTGATGAACGGTAATTAGAAATCGATGTTTTTGACCTATCAACATTTCCCTTTCAGGGTAAAATATTCTCATAACAAAGTTGTAACAGACAAAATGGTCAAAGATGTTGTGGGTGCTGGGGATCATGAGGAAAAGTCAGATATTGCATGTGAGTGTTTGATTTTGCGTAAAAAAGAAGTAATTTATTTCATTTCTTAGATGCTGCTAAGAAGTACCATGAATACCTTGTGAGGCCTCTAACCCAAGCCCAAAGGAAGGTGGTTTTCAAAAAGAACCGGTTAATACAAAGAAGACAGCGAGTGAGTAGTTTGTTTCTTTGTATTATAACATTTCAATTTCCTTTACACTGCAGTTGTTTGAAAGGTGTCTCAAACATGCCATTGGATGAGAGGTAGCAGTGGTTCAGAAGTTGAATGAGAAGTACATGTCAGACGAGGAAACTGATGTTGAAGACAACAGTCTGCTTTTAAAACATTCGCTTACTTGGAGAAGTGAAAGACTAAACACTCTTATACAAAAGCTTGATTTTAGATACATGGAGGCGAGGAAGAAGAAAGAAAACTCGAAACCCCTCAAGGCACGCAAGGATGGATCGCCATCGAAGAGAGGAAAGCCACCAAATCCACCGAAATGGGCAGTGAAAGAATTAGATATTTCAGATGAAGATGCTAATCCAACTGTTGCAACTACAGCTCCTGAGGAAGCTCCAGCTTCCCCCGAAGTATTAAGCGATTTCGAGGCTCCTGAGACAGATGAAATAGACTCATGGCTGTACGAACTGACTGGTGTTCAGATGTAGTGTGTATGTGACTTACATTGCCTTGTACAAATCTTTTTTCCCCTCTCAACACTGTCAAGTGCGCAAGCCAACAGCGAAGAAATGTATAATATTATTCAATATTATTACACTGAGCACTCAAATAGTATTCTTACATGAAGTAAAAAGTAGGTCTGACATAATTATACTGAAATAGATGTATGAAATTATAGTTCATAGCATACCAGCCATAGGTATATAGATAGATAGATAGATAGATAGATAAATAAATAAAAACCACCACCACCATATTTACAAACCCCATGTATACTCTGACATATTCTGGAGTTTTCTGTAAGTTTTCTGTATTCATAATACTTCATACTATTTATGTGAACTTGTACTGACATATTATGGATATATTATGTCAGAATAACTTACAGAATATGTCAGTAACCAAACAGAATATTAAACCTATTCTGAAAGATTCTGATCATATAATCCAGGCGTTTTTGTAGTGTCTCCCACCTCGAACCTTCATCCACATGCTCTCCTTATACCTGACTTTACTTACAAACTCTACCTCGTCTATCAAGCACTCCCGAACCAAGAACCCAACCCCTCCTTCCCCTCTACGACTACTCACGAGGCTTTCTAAACCATCTATAGCCATCAACCGCAACTGCCTTTCCCTCCCTCTCCCAACATTTCTGACCAGCTACTACATCAATCTTAAGCCTTTGCAAAAGCTCCCCTTCCTCTCTCTGTTTACGCTCACTACAAAGGCCTGCCTTCTTGCACACCAGCTGCACACTCATCCACACTATCAGCTAGCTGAGAAAACCTATTAACACACTGAACGCCAATGTGTACAGCCTCTTTAACAGGGCAGGTTTCATCTAACACACATCTACACCCAATCTTCCTGAAATTTGCGCCACAACCGCCTTACTATCCTTATGCAGTAACACTAACCTGACGTGATCACCCTCCCAAGCCCTACAGAAACCGACTAATCCTATATCCGCGAGATTCGCCCGTATTTCAAGCGTTGACACACAAAATGATATTCACCCTAGCCCGTTTATTGCAACTCACGACCCAGTCTTGAGCAGACTTAGTCCAGGGAGCTGTATTCACTGAAGCGTCATTGGTGGGTATTAATTGGAATTCGCGCTGCAGTTTGAAAATAGGCTGCCGAAGACCTCCAAGAGTAGTAGATAATGGTAGCTGGTAGATTCCTCTCCCTCCAAACACCAACAGAAGTAGCAAGAAAAGCTTTCGAAAGCAGAGCTAGAAACTAGCTACCACTTGGGGTACGTTTCCAAGCAAACCCCCACAGTGATCTTAACTGTTACCTGCAGTTTTCAACTCTATTTTTGTTGAAGGTAAAACATTATTGGGAGAAATACAAGGATGTGTGCACGTTTTGATATAGGGTGTGCATTTATTAGAGTATGCTGGGAAGGTGCATGCCTTTTGCCATGTTGAAGTCAAACTTGAATGAGTATATACGGAGGAGGTTGTGCACAATAACCATTCCTAAGCCGTTCGTACATGTGGCTATAGAAGTATCAGTGTAGCTGCAAAAGAATAGGCTCTGGCCGGTGTGTGGGTAAGCCAAGAACTTACTATTCCTCGGTTGTGTATTATGCCCAAGCATGTGCCACGAAGAAAGCTCGTAGCTTGCGAATGGTACAGTAATGTAGTGTGCCATTCAGCACAAAGTGCTGACTCAGCTGGTTGACTGGGTTGCGTGGGTGAGCATACAACTCCATGGTGCACGTGATGCAATCGGCGATGCGTGCACAGCCTGCTGGTGCTAATTTTAGAGATGACTTCATCACAAAATGTAACCCTCCGTTGTTGAAACCCTGCACACAAAGCTTAGCTCACACACTTTTTGCACCATCATTATAAATAAAAAAGCCAAATCCACCCTTCAGTAGCCTCTCAAGAAGAGCATTGCTGATGGTAGCGTTTGCTGAGTTCGCCTTCCCTTCCACTTACCATTTCCTCTCCGCGTCATGCAGCAGTGTGATCAGCATAGAGTGCTCTTGCAGCTAGTGCGAGTGTATTTCACCACTCAAAAGGCCCTAGTCTAGGCTCACTCACAGCCCAATGATCAACACAGTAGACCATACTTGCTAAACACACCCTTACGCCACAAAGCTGGTTAATGACACCCTGGTGACTCAGCACTATCCTATTGCAGGGAAGTTTTTTGAGGGTTGGCTGAAAATGTCATTAGGTGAGTTGTTTAATACTGTATTGCTCAATTTTAAATTCTGTATTGCTCAATTTTTTGTGGGGGTAACAAAAGGTGGTGGTGTGGGTTTAGGGCTCTAGGGCCTTGAATGCGGTACTTGGTGTGTGTAAATCCATCCATATCTCTGTTGTTTTCTGCCACCTCTTGCAACAAAGTGGCCAAAGAACGATAGGTACAGTGCCTCCAACTAAATATGGGTATACTTATCTGAATTTTTACACAATTCGTCCACCTTTTACAGACAAAAAGCGAAAAATACAGAAGAAAAGTTCACTGCATAAGGCGCAGCAAGTATTAGCGATATATAATATAGAAATTGCACAAGATAAGGAATATTTTGCAGACTGCCTACTGACAACTATAAAGTGGACTCGGGAGGCACTATACAAATCTGTTAAATGCTACACTGGCTTGTTTTCATTATAAAATAGTCTACATCTGTAACATGTAATTAGTGTAGCACAAGGTTGGTTTGCATGCATTGATTGTATGTTGCTGACATCTTCCTCGATAGACTGTTGTGTGTAACAAACTCTTTTGTAGATTCTTCGAGTGTGGAAGATACAGTGTCTAGTGAGGATTCAAGTTTTGTGTCTTCTGGGAGTGAGTATGTACCTAGTCCGAAACACCCCATTAAAGTAAGCAGTATTGTTTTACCAAACGCGATGTGTTTGATTGAGTTGTCTCAGTTAGATAAATTTATCGAGCAAGTTAATTGTTGTAGGGGTTGCAAAACTCCTGGATGTGCGGGAAATTTAGTCCCTGTCCATGTTAACAGTGTTGGCAACGGAGGCGGCCTTGTAATAAAGTATGCATGTAATGGTTGTGCCTCCAGTGGATGTGTATTGGAAACGTTCTCCCAGTATAAAGAGGGGGGGAATACCATTAGTCGTTGTGTGCAGGTAGCATTTATTATAGCTGGCTGTACACACGCAGTGTATCATAAGACGCTGAAATTGGCACTGGGAATACAGGCTGTAAGTAAGGGTGTGTTTTTGAAAACTATTGAAGAAATGTACCCGATTGTTAAGAATGTTCTAGACGATATGTGTAAAAAGGCACATCAGGAAATGATGCAAATTCCTCCTGAAGAGCTTGGTTCCTGGAAGAGAGCTGTAACCACTGCTGATGGAACCTGGCAAACTCGAGGGTGGCACAGTAAGAATGCCACCTTCACAATTAGAAATTTTTTAAATGGTGCATTATTATACTATCATCATTCCTGCCAAAAAGGTAGAACTGATGTTGTTGGGCAGGAACTTTACCGTGGCACATCTAAATCTGCTGAGGGTTATGCAGCTATGTTAATGTTTGAGAAAGCGAAAGAGGATGGGATGTGTGTTGCCATTCATTGGCAGGACGCAGACTCGTCCTCTGCCAATTCATTCTCTGCAGTGTTTCCTGATGCAGAGATAATGATATGTGCAGGGCATTCAGGGCGTGCACACAGAAAAATCCTCGAAAGTCGTCAGAAAATTAAGCAATTCCCCAAAAAGTTTATTGAGAAGCATAGAGAAAAATTTCCTGGAATAGTTGAATGTTCTTCGGACTGCAAAAAAGATAGCCACAGTAACACATGTGTGCGTTTCTGTCATTGTACAGGCAACCACAGTGTGGGTTGTGGGTGCTAACACCAGAGTTTATAGCCAAAGCACACACAAATTTCACTTCCATTTTGAGGGAGGTGGAGTCACAAGAGGAGTTTGTGACTCGCCTTGATTCCTTGGCGAGACATGCTCGTGATGAGCATGAGTGGGAAGGGGGTAAATGTGACTTCCATCCTTTGCTATGGTGTTCATGTGGTAACTGTAGTAACAAATATCAGTTGCATTGTGAAGGTAAACCTTACAGAACTAAGGTAATGCTGAAGTGCAAGTTCCATGCACTAATTTATGAGATAGAATTGCATGAAAGGGCCCTGCAGGCAAAACAACTGGTACATCCCAGTTCTGAAAAGTGGCCACTCAAATGCAGTAGAAGCATCCCATAATGTACTGATTAGGTTTCGGTCCAAAGCCATTGCCCTCCAAATGACACATTATCATGTGTCCACTAATCTTGGTCTGCTTCAGTCCAATTTGACCTATATGCACCAAAGGTGTGGTGTAGGTTATCACTGGATTCCTGAATTGTTCCGTCGCATGGATCTTCCAGTGTTCGATGGTGTTCAGGAAGCACTAGAACGTGATAACGAAGCAAGGAAGAAAGACCTTGAGCGGGCTAAGGGAAGTCCTGCGAAAAAAAATAGAGTAGCCTCAAAAAGAAAAAGGGCTTATGAGGGAAAAAAGCGCCAGGTGTGGTCTAAGAAGCACGGTCATCACACATATTATGGTGGGCCAGAAGAGCATGTTGAGAAAAAAACAAACCCCGCGCAGCAAATGCAAAGAAAGGTTGTGCTCCAAATCTCAAAAAGTGTCCAGTTAAAAGAAAACGTGGCACTTATAGTGATTTATCTGATAATATATTATTGCTAGATGATAGTGATTCTATTCCCACAGACAGTGGTGATAATGAAATTAGGGAGCCCCCAGAAAAGAAAACCAATTCCTCTCTCCCCGAACCCATTTTTGAGGTTGGGGACTATGTCTGTGTACATAAAGACAAGTACCACATTGTCTGTCGTATGGTTGGGGAGTTTCATGGTAGATACAGTCTGTACTGCCCAGCGGGTGTTATCAATAGATCTTTCTGTGCTACCGAGCTGATGCAAATAGACAATTTTACACATATTCCACTGAATGAGTGGCGACAAGCTCCAAAAGTTCCTCTGTCTGATGCTGTAGCTTTAGCACTTGTTTCAGAGTGCACATGCAGTTTGCCTGAGTGCTTGGAGAATGTTATAGTTGTTTCCTCTGCTGAGGACGAGCAAGAAAAAGATGAAATGTGGGTAAAAAATCTATTATACAGTTTGCCATATGGTGCACGTGATATAATATTGTCTCCTCAAGGGTGGCTCACTGATGAAATCATTACAGCTGCCCAAAAGCTCATGCACCAGCATTTCCCAAACATGGAAGGTTTTCAACCTCCTACTCTCGGAAAGTTGCACAGTGGTTTTGATGTTCACCGGGACGCGTTTGTACAAATTATTAATGTCAAGAACATCCACTGGTGTGTTGTATCAACTGTTGGCTGTGAAACTGGGATTATTAATCTGTACGATGTAGCTGCCCTCCACGTTCCGCTCATATTCCTCTGCCAGTCGGTGCGGAGTTTACTGGGTAGACTTCGCAAGTTTTGTACTCGCACACGTAGTCCTCTTTATTGATGGTATGCTTTGTGGTGACCCCCCGTCCTTTTTGGGGGGTCGTAGTGAACCACTTTCAGTTGTTGTGGTCGCACTTGCCCAGAAAGGCCTCTGATGTGTTGAGAGGACTGCAGATGGAACCAGGTTTACCAAAAGCATTGTGCACATGCACTTTACTTACATTATTCTCCGGGGTCTCTCTCCTGTCTCGTCCCCAGAGGTGTTCTGTTCCGCCTCCGAGGAGGTGTAGACATCACGGACCTTGACTGTCCTCTCCTTCACCTCCCGTGTCCTTGTCTGTGCAAGTGGGAGGCAGCAGTCTGGGAGGAGGACTGGGTGTGAGTAGGGTAATCCTTGTCATGTGTAGGGGAGCTGAGGAGTTCAGGCGTGAACTGCACTGGCTCGAGAGCTGACATGAAGTGAAAGGATGACAAATAGTTTAAAGGGAGCAGTTTCATACCTTTTCCAGTAGGTGATTGATGGACTTGTTGCTCCTCCTCCTCCTCCTGAACAATGACGTTGGAGTCGTCGTCCTTCCATGGTCTAGCACTGGACACTTTGCGGTGAGGTGGCTGCACGCACCTTCTTGGTGAGAGAGCTGCAGATGGAGATAGGTTTAGCCGAAGCATAGTGCACACATTGTTATCCGGGCTGTTGAGGTTTCGTCCCTGGAGGTTACTGGGGAGGTGTACTCAACGGTTCTCTCTTTGACCTCCTGCGTTCTGGTCTGTGGTAGCTGGTTGGAGGCGGAGGTGGACTCAGTGGGAAATGTCCGAGTTGTGTAGTTGTGGTCGTGTGTGGGGAAGGTGAACTGAGCTGAAATGCAAAGAAGATGATGAATACTGGCTAGAGAGCTGACAGGAAGTGAAAGGAAGAGAAATCATACCATCTTCAGTTTTGGACGAGACGTATACAACCTGTTGCTCCGCATAGCTATGGACATTGTCGTCCTCCCCGGATGTGCTGACTGAAATATGTAATACATAAATCATGCCCAATAGGTACGTACACTATATAAAGCACGAGACCAAGTGCTTTATATAGTATACATACCGTAGGTTTACGTAATATACATAATGCAATACTCGCTCTTGGCCTGCCCTCGCTAGGCAACCGTGACGTCAAACAGATTACCATAGAAACTGCGGTAACCTCAGTGATCAAAATTCTTCACAGTGATCTAACTTGCAACTTGGTACTTAGATACCCAGTACTATGGGTTTTAGACACTTGATTACTACACTCAACATCAAAGGGAATTATTCATGAGAGGTTCGAACTAGCGTCCAAGCATGTCTATAGCCCTAGACACTAAGTGGCAACCGAACTTTAGCGCACCTTGAGCTGTCACAGGTCTCTACCCTTTGTGAGGAGGGTGTGGTCTCAAATGCCTCTTCATAAATGAAGTCCACTAGATGGAGAAAGGCCTCGTCAATGGAAATTCCCATTTCAGCAGCTGTAACTTACGTGCAGAGGCTCTGTTTTTCTTTCTCCTTTTGGCCATACTAACTGTTGCGTGCGCGCGGTAGTTATAAATAGCGCACACCTGCGGCCAGAGTTATTAACTCTTTGGGGCCAAAGGACGCCCATTACTAATATGCAACATTTACGTAATGTCGCTAGAAAAAACGGTTGGAAGACGGTTTAGAACTAGGGACATCACGTTTATGACCGTCCACAGGTATAAGTCGGTAAAAATATGGATTCTGCGTTTTCTACCCTTTTACCGCGCTCTTTCAAAATTTGGTGCGGATGACTCGTTCCATTCTGGAGATATAGCTGCTTTTGTACCCGGGGTCAGACCTTCCAGATCCGAGAAACGGCAAATTTTCTACGTGGAGAAATGTTTCCGCATACGCACTCCGTTACACATCGTGCGTTGACACGCCCCCTAAAGCCGCTCGCACGGTTGTGGAACAAGGCTATCTCTCGTTGAAACGAGACAGGCTCAACGAAGGTAGCAGATAGGCTTTTAGCATCGTTGGTAACCCTAGCTCCTCGTTAGGTTTTTTTTTTTTACGGCCCGTAAATTTCACCGCGTAATTCCCGTGTATTGCGCCCGTTTACGCGCGCGTGGAGATCGACGTTGCCTACGTCGAGGCGCCGCCACGGCCCTGGCGAGCGAGTTTCGAAGCTCTAAAGTATGTAGCTGTCTTCTAGACAGATGTAGGTCCTTCTCTGTTAAAAAAGACTGAATCGCGCGGTACCCGCTGTTTCGACTTGTAAGGCTGTTTATTAAAAATTTATTGGTAGTTAGGGGGGGAGGTAGATACTATCATACGTGCGTAGCTTATCCTAGCCGCGGAGTTCCACCAATGGCATCCAGGTCTACATGGCATTCCAGTCAAAACACGGGCGTGGCTACATTTGGGCTATTGTGCAGTGCCTATAGTTTGCATTCTGCCAGCAGGCGGCGGCGCCTGTGGCGGGTCTCGTTGGGGAATACCGATTGTGTTTGTATTCTCGCTTTGGGGGGGTGCTGTCTCCTTCCCGGGTCTGCCGCCTACCTCGTCGACGCCAGCGTCAACGACTCCAATTGGTCACCTGCTAGCGGCGGGCGATCTCGGGGTCAATCCATCCTGGATGGCGTCCTCCGCTGCCGACAGCGGGCTAGCATCTTACCTGATGCAAGCTCTTCTGGACGCGCCTCACCCGGCTTCCGCAGTGGCGACCGAGCGCGTCTTGGTGGCCAGCGGTATTCCAACCATCCCTAGGAGCTTCCTGCTACGGATCAGACGCGGCGGATATGTCGATTTAGCCGACCTATTGCCAGCAGTCAACGCGGCCGACCACTCTTCAGCTCTGGGAGGCCAGGTAGCGCGTTTTTCGCGAGTACGATGTGGTTCGCCGTCGAAGGCGGAACATCACTGACTGGATGCAGGCCTTCCTCTGCGGCAGTGGTGTCCGCCGATCCATCGCGGACGCTGGAGCTACTGGCCTACGCCCTAACTGTCATCCGGACCAGCCAGAACTTTGACGGATTGCACTGGCGGGCCTATGACACACACTTCCGTACCAACGCAGCAGCCTGGGGAAACCGGTCGTGGTCCAGTCTGGATACAGACCTATACACCCGTTTCTTCACGGGAAGAGCGAGGCCACCCTCTGCGCGTACTGCGACAGTTCGGCCCACGGAGACTCGGAATGCCCTCATCGGCCTGGACCGTCAAGAGGCTCCCTAAAGGCTACTGGTTCGGGGAAAGCTCCTACTGCAAAGAGGCGTCCGTGGCCAGTTGATGCCTGTTCGCAATTTAACGCCAGAGGCACCTGCTCCTTTGGGGAGGGATGCAAGTATCGCCATGTGTGCGGGGAGTGTGGGGGCGACCACCCCGCTAGATCCTGTACGTCGAAGAAAACGTAATGTTTGGGGGAGTTATCGTCTGTTGTTTGAGGCACTTACCTGTAACTATATCTGTTCTTGTTAGCACATTAATACGTCTGTGGGTGTGTTACTTCAATGAATCATGTCCCAAATTCTGGTAGCTACCAACACTCGGCGGCCGCGTAAGCATGGTGTATAGCTGTACGTTGTAGTCAAAGGGGTTTTGGGTTGCATGGAAGTTGCGTTTTGTGCGTAGCACCTCAGCAGGGGGCATGCATTCATTCACTCAACTATCCTCCACCCAGCGGGTGTGATATTTGCGCAGATCTGCCTTGGGATCTAGATTTCTGTGTGTACTTGATACTTATTTTAGTACCTACCTCGTGTAGATCTTGGACCCATCGGGTCTCACCCATGGACTGCAAAACTGTTAGCGCTGGACTCCCGCAGACCGGTACAGGAAGCTCGGAGCTCTCGGCAGATATCCGTGATAACGACACCACTGAAAGCGGACGAATGGGCAGAGGCGTTAGAGGGACATCCTGATCGCCGTTTTCGCGACTACATTCTCCAGGGAATAAGGTCGTCCCCGAGTACCTGGCCCAAGAGTGCCGGGCGGACCGTGTTCTCGGTCCGTTTCCATCCTCCCCACTGCCTCAGCTGCAAGTAAGCAGCTTCGGGGTTATTCCGAAGCGTCACCAACCAGGAAAGTGGCACCTCATTCTGGACCTATCCAGCCCGGAAGGTCGGAGCGTAAATGACGGGATAGACCAGACAGTCTGCTCCCTACATTTCATATCAGTGGACACAATCGCAGAGGCAGTGTTCCAGGCAGGTAGAGGGGCTCTCGTCGCCAAGTCGGACGTCCAGCACGTGTATCGTCAAATACCGGTGCATCCAGACGACCATCTTTTGAGATGGCAGGGGCATACATACATCGATGCCACTCTGCTGTTTGGCCTCCGCTCAGCACCCCTTATTTTTCAGCCGTAGCTGACGCTCTGGAATGGGTGGTGCGGTCCAGAGGGGTGCGGAGCATCTGTCACTACATCGACGATTTCATCATCGTCGGTGCACCACGTTCGGACGAATGTGCACGATGTCTACAGATCTTCTTGTTGACCAGCAAAGCGTTGGGCATGCAGATTTCTGTCGACAAGATGGAGGGACCGGCAGTGTGTTTGACCATCCTGGGTATTCAGGTCGACACGGTGGCAATGACACTGAGTTTACCGGAAGAGAAATTGGATCTCTTCTCCAGGAGTGGCATGGTGGCAGTTCTAAAAGGAGTGAAGAGGCTGCAAGCAGCGACCATCAGCCGCCCACGTCTACCAATAACGAGTGCCGTCCTGAGATCGCTCCGATTAGCTTGGGAACGATCAGCCGAAGCAGCACCCTACGATACTCGGATGCTGTGGGCAGTCGCCTGTACCTGCTTCTTCGGGTTCTTAAGATCGGGCGAGGCGACAGTGCCGACATTGACAGGCTACAATCCGGGAGTTCACCTATCCATAACAGACGTAGCAATCGACTCCCGGGAGGCCCCGTCTATGGTGCCGTTGTGAATCAAGGCGTC